AAACATATTCGGACAAGTGCCGCTGGCATTTGAAACCTACTTTCTTCTGAAATATACACCTGTGCCATTTTACGGACACAGTTCGAGAGGGGTTATTAAACCTTTATAATGGTCGGGTGAAATTTCGATAAGTGCTGGACTGGATGTTTCCCGACTGCTTACTTGTCTCAGTAAGCGGTGGCAGTTTATATTCATACCTTGGATGCCTGATGTTTAAATGTCTTGTGAATCATCGTGGCCTCATGCGATTACTAACGACTGCACCAAGGCACAGTATATGTTTAAGGCAAGGTTCTTCTTCAGTGGTAGTGGATTTAAGTTAATTATTTTAAGACACAGTATAGATGATTGTGACCTAATTTTGGAAGACTATTTTATTTATTTATGTAAAAAAATTAAAAAAAAATCTTTATTTATTTTTGAGAGAGAGAGAGACCCTGTGTGAGCAGGGGAGGAGCAGAGAGAGAGGGAGACACAGAATCCGAAGCAGGCTCCAGGCTCTGAGCTGTCAGCACAGAGCCCGACGCAGGGCTCAAGCTCACGAACCGTGAGATCGTGACCTGAGCCGAAGTTGGGACGCTCAACCGACTGAGCCGCCCAGGCGCCCCTGGAAGACTATTTCAGATCTGATTAGCAGGTCACTGCTTTCACTTTTCCACACAGCCAACGAACAGCTCATCTTGGGTCGGGGGAATGCAGCCCTGCTATTTTCTTGTGGTTCCTGGGTGCTTGTGTTTCTGGCGGTATCTTCAGTCCGTGGGTCTCTGCATGGATGATGTAAATCGCTTGCTAATTTTGTGAGCGATAGTTTAGTTAGAGCCCGGGAACGGCCAGTACGTGCACGTAACCAGGGAGCCCGGGCTGCGCCGTCCTGAATTTGCTGTCGGCCCTCTCAGTTCTATCCATCACAGCACGAGCACAGTCGCGGCCAGAGAGGCGTGCCGACCCCAGCTGTAATCTCACGTACATGAAACCTAACAGATATGCACGTATGTGTGTAGATACTGAAGAAACAGAAACAGAAATAGCGGCTTTCGTGTCCTCCTCCCACATCTTTCGGGTTTTCATGTGCCCTCAGCAGCATGCTTGCACCTTGGAGGTCACCGTCTTAAGAGATGCGCCGCAAGGGGCATGGGAGCACTGAGTATTTTTTTCCTGTGATCAGAACCCCCTCCTCTGTTGATCTGAAAGTCTTAGGCACCCCTACAGCAGTTCTCCCCGCGAAGAGTGTGGGACCCTTCCCTTGAGGTCTCCTAACCCCACTGGGCACGATTCTGAGGAAATTCCAGAGAGGAGAGAGACTCAGGACCACATGTGTTACTGGGTGAAGGCGTAGCACACGTGGAAGACGACATGTGGGGTCGAGGCCAAGCTCCGGCTGGTTAACTTGGCTCGGTCTTTCTTTTTGTTTCACATGGCGCAATGCGGTGCGGTAAGGAAAGTGTCTTCCAGCCTCCCGATAGTCTGGGATGAGCCACATAGCAGTGTGCAAGTAATTAACGCTGCAATCAGGGATGCTTATCAGGTACCTTCCACTTCCCAAGTAAAATGCCGTACACGCAAATTCAAAGGTGCCGGCCCATTAACGCGCATCGAGCGGATTTTGATTCCTCTGAAAAATGAACTCCCGCATATTGCGTCAGGCAATCCACCTCCGTCACAGATGGGTACGTTCCTTCTCTCACATGCGTCCTGCCTTTGCTTTTCTTCAGAGAGAACAACGATTTGTCCTTTGCTGGGTCTTTGAGTTGATTAAAAAGTCAGCCAAACTGCCGAGGGCAAGCAGAGTGGAGGAAGTGACCCTGAATTTGTCCCGACAGGCAATTCGCCCGACAGCTGTAAGCTGGACGGCTGCATCCTGACGACTCAGGAGGAGGAAGACATGATCAAGCAGAAGTGGGAGCTTCCGGGCCATAAGTGGAAACCGCTGCTTCCCGTCACGAAGGTATGGCGCCCATGGGGACCCGGGGAAGGCCGGCCCCGCCGTCGGGGCCGCTTTGCTCAGATTTCCTTTCCAAACCTTCTGCTCAGATTAAATAGTAAGACGCACAAGCTTCTAAAAACCGTATCTGTGCATTTATGTAATAGAAAGACAGGCTCTAGTCTTTCATTCGTGTGCATTTCTAACAACCAAGTTTTGTTTTAAACCATCATGTACAAAGGACATATGTATGTGTGGAAAACGTTTCTGCAGTGTATTGACTTTCTAGAAGGGGTGACTAATATATTTAAAGCTAAAGCTATAACAATGTGTCCTCTTGTGAGATGGACGCGGAGATGTTCCAGAAGCGTCCTCTTTGCTCCAGTAGAAGGACAGTCCTTTGTGGGTCAGAGTGGGGGGGTGAGGGGTGGTCCCGCGTGGTGATGGGTGATGGCCTCTGGGAGGCACCAATATGCCCACTTCTCACTTTCTTTTTCTTATCGGTGTATCCGCTTAATTAACCACTGAGAACCACGAACATCATGGACCCGAGTGTTCATGTTAGCATTACCTGGGCTTTTGACCCCTGCTAGCCTTCCACTGTGGTAAGCCGGCCTGTTATCAGTGAGTAACTGGCCTGGGTCATGGGCCCTGAGTCCACGCCGGCCGGTCTGGGCCTCACTCTGCGTTATCACAAGGACCGCTCCCTGCCTCTCTTTCAGCTGTCCGCCGGCAAAAGTCACTTGTTCGACAGCCTGACCCTGGAGCTCCAGGACGTCATCACGCACGTGAGATTCACCATCACCCCGGACGGGGGCGTGAGCCGCCTGCGCCTCAACGGCTTCCCCAGCTCCCTCTGCCTCCTGCGCCCCCGGGAGAAGCCCTTGATGAGGTTCTCCGTGAAGGCAGGCTTCCGGGCCAACCTGTGACTCCGCGCGGCCGTGCGGTGGCCCCGTCGCACTCTTCTCTTGAAGGGTGTTTAACATCTGAAACTTAAGAGGTTTCTGGCAATTGATCTTTTTAAGACCAACGTAATTCCTGGTGATTTAATAAAGCGGTCACGCTCACACATCGGTACGTGTATCTACCATCGCGGTGGAGTGTTCGGTCATGTGAAAATTGTCTGTGGTCGTGAAAGATAGGTGGTCTCTTAAAGATCACTTTTTTAAAAAACACTACAAGATATTGATATTTACAGAATTGAATTCTGTACATTCTGCATGTAGATTCGGTAAGTGATACTTGTAGCTTATTGTCTTTAAAAGTTTAAGCCCATCAAAACCACTGGAAAAACATATTTCTGGAGCCATTCATCTTCTCAGCTCAAGAGGATGGGCCCGTTGTTACCCAGAATAAGGAATGACGTTCACAAGGACACACACCCCCTTGAATTGTTCTTCCCCAGTGAAGGTGCGTTCCGGATGCTAAACCTTCGGGACACTGTATGCTAGCTGTGCTCGTAACCCGGCTTCTCACATGCCCTGAATGGGTCCACGCAAATCCTCCTGGACACGGTTTTGATTGTTAAGATGGTCCTGATGGCCCCTGCTC